CCGTGATTCTTGCGCTCCTCTGGTCTGCTGTTGGGAGTCTGTATAATATTCGTTATTTCAGTCCGTGTATGTTTAATTTCTAGTTGGTTCTTTATCATAACATCGAGGGTCTCATTAGATTTGTTGAGGATCTCAATAACTTTATCGGCGGCTTCTAGACAGTTCTTGAGAGACCTTAAAAGTGTGGTTCTGAACTCAATATCCTCCATTGACAGTTTTGTCCTGTTTCTTTGTCTCCGCATTTTTTATACTTTCTTGGTGCACCCCCTAGTGGTCTTTGTGTGCAGCCTTCCTGTAGTTAAACCTTGATTGTTATAGTTAATACTAGGGGGATTTGACCTCCAGGCCAACTGGCTGTGAGAATCAGCTGTGTCTGCAGTGGGAAAACTTCTATCCTCTAGGGAGGTGCTAATCTAGCCTTTGCCTGAGGCTATCTGGCAAACGGAACTGCTCTGCGCAGGGCTTGGGCGGGGCGGGTGGTCACACGGGATCAACAGGGTGGGCTGGTGAGAGCAGTTATGGCAGCTCTCAGTTCCATCCCTAGGGGCTCTGCCTTACAGAATCCCAGCAACTGCTGCAAACCTTAGAGAGAAAGTTGCCTTCTAGTTCTGACCGAAGCCAGACAGTCCCGCTACTTCAGTTTGAGTCTGGGTCCCTAGAGACTCTCCTGGATCTGGAGCTCAGAGTCTGAAACTCCCTCCTGATTGAAAACACCAACGCGCCCTCTGCCGCCAGCCCGCTCTGCGCGTACTCTGTACCTCAGTGTTTCACTTCAGCACTGCGCCTCCTCTGAGTCTGGGTATGATATTCTCTTTCCTCCTAGTTGTAGAATTTCCACTCAGCCAGCCTCCCTGTGGTTCTGGATGATGTCCGTTCCATCTTTTAGGTGTATTTTGATTTGGTTGTTCAAGGCAGCAATCTCCTGCGTTAACCTATGCCGCCATCTTGGTTTTTCCCTTAGCCTCTCTCAGTTTTTATTTTAAAAAAGCAGCACAAATGTTTCTTACTCTTTACCCAGCAGATTTCAAAATGATGAGTTAAGTTTTTGGTATCAGACAACAGTGATAAGCAAGTATTTCTTTAAGTAGCCTATGAAGTAATACATTTAAATACCATCAGAGTTCTCATCCTCATTGATGTATAATTTATTCCATCTTTGGCCAGTGGGAGCATCCTTAAAAGTTGTCTCCTGAGTTCTTTTACCGTGATCCTTAGAACTTTGATAACTTCTTCACTATTAGGTATGACAAAATATTTCAGGCTCACTTCCCTATTTCCTGCCCCAGCCTGGACTCAGCTATTTTTCCAAGAAATCCTGATACCCATTTTTTAAGAAAACTGTAACCATTGTCTTTTCATGATACAGAATGCATCTCATTTAAACAAACCAAAATATGAATATGCCAATAAGTGCATGGCTCCTATTTTAATAACATGTCCCAAAGTACTCAAACCAGTAGCAATCCTCATTATGACATTGTAAAACGGTGGAAATATAGCGCTGTTGTAAAAATACAGCATACAAAGTGAATACATCAGAGGTCAGAATAAATAGGTAAGCAGGAATTTGGAATAAATCCAAATTTTAAACTACTATGATAAAGACAGTGTAAGAAATGGGTATGCCATAGGTTCAGCGGGATACACTTAAGAGCAGAGTTCAAAGTGAGTTGGAGACATCTGTACCATGCTGTTACTTGACATTACTGTTGCTTTCCTGGGGTGCTCTGATTATTTTATGGGTACCATTATTTCTTTGTTTTTCTGATAATGAAGACAAAGTCTGGTGCTGTAGATTTCAGTTAGACATTACTAACTTCCCTGGGCTAAAGGCCTTGTTCTTACCACCAGCAGAGTGCTGAGATCTACAATCTGTATATGAGCATCTTGAAATGGAGGCTTTGGGTGAGCAACAGTTATAAAGACCAATGATAACTTCTCAGCCTCCAGGCAACATGTTTTCATTCAAAATCTAGACAGCAGGAGCAGTCTCTGAGGTTAGCGAGCCTTTCCCATTTCTATTCTTCTCCCTACCCACAACCCAGAGTTCTCAGCTGGAATTTTACTGTCCTTCATAGGAAATTAGCAATTTGTCACATTCCCAATGTTTACTTACACAAAATTTCAAGGGTCCCACTGATGTGGTTTTCGTATAGATATCCAGGGCCTTATGTTTTCAAATGCATTCTTTCTGGTGTAACTTGTGAAACTAAGCCTTTGCAAAGTAGGGCCAGATGTTGAAATATCTGCAAGATATGCATATGATCACTTAAGTTAAACATACCGGCTTCTTTCGTGAGAGAACTTGAGATATGCCACACAAATATGCCGTGATTTCCATTTGTTAGAATTAGTAATTGAAGGAAAACATGTGTAAGTGAATATCGCTTCTAATCACTCATGCTAGAGGGTGGTGTGCGTTACAGTGACTTGCAAATGCTATAAATGATAGATAAATGATAGGTACAAAACCTATTTCTTTAGTCTTGTCAAAACAGATGAACTGCCCACATTTTCTCATGCTCCTCTCAGATAAGTCAGGCTTGGGAGTACTGTAGATGCTTCGGGTGTCTTAAGAGTCTGGGGAAGCATGGAGCACAGGACCTGGGGCCCATGGGTGCAGAGGAGCTATTGCCAGTGGCAGAGGGCCATGGGGAGGCCAGCCCTGTATGAAGGAAAGCAGAGTGAAGGATCATTACCAATGGCAAATGAGGTGAGGTAAGAAGGAGGAGCTAAGGTGTAAAGTCAAATGGATCAGCAAGTGAGGGAAGCCCCTGCATGAAGCAGTTTGAAGAGAGCAGCGGGAAGCTAGAGTTTGGAGAGTGTCCAGAAACCAGCATTTTGATGTTCATCATTGTATTTTATGTGGTGCCTGGGTCTCTAGATTAGATGTTCTGAGAGCAATTAAAA